AAAGAAAATGAAAACAGTAATTTGAAAAGATATGTGCACCCCTCTGCTCACTGCGGCACCGTTTACAACAGTCAAGATGTGGAAGCATCCTGGGTGTCCACTGACAGATAAATGGATAAAGAAGTGGTACGTATATGCACAATGGAATATGATTTAGCTGTAAAAAGAATGAAATCTTGCCATTTGTGACAACATGAATTGACCTAGAGTGTTTAATTCGGACAGAGAAAGACAAATACCATATGATTTCACTTATATGTGGAATCTAAAACCAACCAACCAACCAACCAAAACAGAAACAAACTCACAGATACAGAAAACACCCTGATGGTTGCCAGAGGGGAGGAGGGGAGGAAATGGGTGGAAAAGGGAAAGGGGAGTAAGTGGGACAAAACTTCCAGTTATAAAACAGATGACAAGGGTATCACGTACAGCACAGGGAACACGGTAAATAATGCTGTAATAACTATAAGGTGACAGATGGTTACCTAACTGCTTGTAGGGAGCACATAGTAAGGTATATAAATGTGGAATCTCTATGCTGTACACCTGAAATTAATATGATATTATGTCAACTATAATTAAAAATAAATTAAAACNCTTGTAGGGAGCACATAGTAAGGTATATAAATGTGGAATCTCTATGCTGTACACCTGAAATTAATATGATATTATGTCAACTATAATTAAAAATAAAAATAAAGTTAATTTTAGTGTCAGTTTCTACTTTGCTACCTTACTCTCTAACAAATGTTTTGTCTCTTCATGGTTCTTTCCTACTTTTTACAGCCTATCTGGAAAAAAAAACAACTAACATTCCCCAAGGCATTTCTCCTACTTAGCCAAGAGCTACTTCAAGTTTCAGTACCTACAATTTGCTCATGAGTGAAATGGAAAGAGATGAAAAGAGTAAATGTTGGAACTGAGCAACAGAGCAAAAGGAAAGTCCGTGTTGCTTCCACAGAGTTTAGACCTGTCAGTGAAACGTCGACGAGAATGTGTAAATTGGCATCCCCTTTGCTATCATTATGCCACTTCTCTGAGAAGAAATTTTGCCCTGGCCGGTATAGCTCAGTTGGTTGGAGAGTCCTCCCATGTACCGCAGGGTCGCAGGTCCAAGTCCCTATCAGGGCATACACCTAGATTGTGGGTTCGATCCCTGGTTGGGGCGTGTACAGGAGGCAACTGATCAACGCTTCGCTCTCACATCAATGTTTCTCTTTCGTTTCTTTCTCTCTCTCTCTCTCTCCCCCCTCTCCTTTCCTCTCAGTCTAAGATCAGTTTTTTAAAAAAAGAGAGAAGAAATTTCTATTTTAACTTAGAAAATTTAAGTTCTTGATTCAGTAGAAGGGACAGATCCAGAAAAAAGTGAAAGAATTACTAAAAATGTATTTGTAGAGATGCTTGCCATGGAATCTTAGGGACACCTATTGGAAGTAGAGAAATAGCTTCAGAAAAGCTTAGCAATACTCTACAAAATTAAGAGTAAATTTCCAGACATACACAGAGTTAAAGGAACATATGGGATATAAGTTTCAAATTATTTTTCAAACACTTTCTTTTATGCTGACTTTGCAAATGGAGTTTTAATTTCTCCAATAGAGCATTTTCTGTTATAAAAGTCTGTGTGAAGAAAAAAAAAAGAATTTATAAGCTGAAAAATGAAAATTTATACAAAAATGACTGAGATTTGAGCAAAAAAACAAAAACCCAGTAGCTATAGTTTAGAACCATACATAATTTATTAGTAAGTTCTTCAAATTTTTAAAATGTATTACCACGAACAATGGTTTTGTTAACTTTCCACTTAAATGTTGCATATTTCATAATGTTGAGTCGAGAAAATGATATGCTTATAAATGCAACGATCACAAAAAGAGGTACAGCAGCCTCAAGTTAATGAATGATGAACTAAAGAAGCACCCTAAGTTCTGGAAGGCTGTTTTTACACATTTTCCAACTCCAGAAATACCTTGTTCACTTTCCCTGGATACTGATAGTTCTTGTAGAAGAGAAAGCTTAGAGCAGTGTCTTACTGGGCATGGTTTTTGGGTCACCTGTCACTGGCTCACCTAGGATACTTCCTACGAATGCAGATTCCAACACACCGTCTCCAGAAATTCTAAGTCAATGGATCTAATGAGTCCAGATATCTGCACTTTAATGTGGAACTTAAATGATGGAGTTAGAGACAGTAATCCATCTCTCTTCTTCACATGATGCCATTTAAACCTAAGGAGATTAACTTAATTACCTGAGCCAATTAACAGCAGAGCAAGAATGAAAGCCCAGAACTGCTACCGCCCAGCCCAGTCCTCTTTGTTCTAAATGCACTCCCACCCTTTTTTCATAATAGCTCTTCAAAGTGTGCTGCAACAGCCACCCTTCCACCCCATCCACTGTCCCTTGACTCTCTCTCATCGCCTCCAAAGGAAATTAGTAAGACTATGAACAGATAGAGGAAAGGAAATTGAAAACTGCTCTTATGTTAGGGTGATGTAAGTCAATATTCTTTATTTTTTATTCTAGTCACACTATAAGATATGTGAGCAATGAATTTACTGTTTAAAAAATTTTTTTAATGAAAATAATTAAGCTCGGATACATGGAACTAAATTAGAGCCAATACAAATTAAGATACAGAGGTTCAAATCTAACACCCCTTACATTTTTATGAGATATTTTTTCCATCATCTTTTTAAAAACCACAGTCTCCTTCACGTAGTGTGCGTACAAAACTTTTAGAAGTTGCATGAAACTAGCTAATTATCTTTTAGTGCTTTTCCTAAAACACGAGCTTAAAGCCCTGCGCATTCAGGAGGAAGGCTCCTCATTTAGCATGTCACCCAAATTCTTCACACAGTTTGCTAAACCATGTGAGCAGGCCAATGGGCAACTTTCCTCTGGGGGAAAGACACACACTGGGATATAGAGATAAATGAAACTGGAATAGCACTTCAGGGCCTAAACACAGAAGGCTTTTCTTAATTTATCCATCCAGTCTAGCCAACTAGTTCCTTAGACCAAGTCCCTTAAGACCTGGCTCCATACAATGATTAATATGATGCAATTTTTTAAAAGAACACATATACGAACAATAGTATGCACTTTGCAATGGTGTGCGTGTGTGTGTGTGGCAGAGCAGTGAGCTCACTGTCTATCATAAACACTGGTCCTTTCTGACTTTTCCTCCTGGAAGACCTGTGTCCTGAAGTTGGCACATCATTTTTAGAGTGCCTGGCATGGTATAATGTTTATTGAATGCAAACTGTGAACCTTCCAGGCAACTAAATTATTCAAGGAAAGAATCTTAGTCATTTTCTAAAAGGTCCCAGGCCACAAATTTTCTTTTCAACACACACTTTAAAAAAAAAAAGAGTTTGGTATCGCAGCTAAGCAGTAGGTTTAGAGTTACTAAATTCTGGCTTTAAACTGCACTCTGCATAATGAGCTGTAATCCTTAACAAGTTACTTAACCCTCATTTTCCTCCGCTATAAGCATCAATAAGAATATCGTCCTCCCATATTTGTGGGGAAGATGAAAGGAATGTTTATAAATTAATTAGCACAGTAGCCGGTACTCACCAAATGGTATTCTATGCTCAAATACTAATGTTAAAGCAAAGGTTTCATACATTTCTGGCTAATCAGAAAATATTAATAAAACCTTAAAAACATTTACTTTACTTCTAGAGAATAACAAACTCAGACAATCTAATGAATGTAAGCAATTAAACTAATTATTTAACAGAGTAACTTCCATACTGATACATGTAAATTATGCATTTTTAACCACCATGCCAATAAGAAAAGTTTTAATCGTCTTACTTCACAAAAGGAAAACGTTCAAATGGAGTTCATACACGTTAAGCTGTACATCACCATTCCTGAGGAACAGGCTACCTATCCAATTTATTAATATGCCAACAGTGCTCAGGGGATGCTGTCCACAGTTAATCAGCTACGAAATCTACCCCCAAAAATGTAATGAGTAAGTTCATGCTGAAGTTCAGAGGATGGATGCCTTGGGTAAAGATCTAGAGTTAATTTTTTTTAAAACTGTTGGTTTTGAGGTGATCTATTTGTTATGAAAATAGTCAGCACTCCCATTTCACTATGTCATCACCCAGTATGCTCTATCATACAGTGAGTTCATTCTAGGTTAGCTATCCAAGACACGCCATTTAATTCCACAAATAATTACTAAGCATTTAATATATTCTAAGCTGAAAGATTAAGTAAGCATTAATTCTCAAAAAGAGGTAAGGACTTTTCTGATACATATTAAAAACAAGATATGTTAGAGAAGGGGAAGTCTACAGGATCAAATGAAGTTAGTGAAATTCATTAAAACTTTATTTTAACATCCATCTCTCAGAACATTTTACTTTTCTATTGAGTCCTTAGATATTCAGCAAATTCAGTAGGTCCAGTTAAGCCTATTTTATTTATGTATATGTAATATGTGTGTGTTTATATGCATATGTGTGAATGTGTGTATATCAATCATTTGCCTCCAGTAAATCATTTCCTCTACTAGCAATGTATCAGCTCAAAGCAAAAACAAAAGCCCAAATGCTGTAAACTCAAGAAAATATGCACTTGCTCTATAATTTTCTGTCATAAAAACAAAAGACACAACAACAGGTGCAGAACTGGGTCTATTTCATCAACAGCTGTAATGTTTAATTTGTTCTTAATTATCTTCTCATGTAGTTTTACAATGTTACTTCAACTAAGGAATTCTTTTCAAAAATTATTTTCAATGACTCTATGCCTCAGTCCCTTAAAAAGGTGATATGTAGCCTCAAATCTGATGTACATTAGTTTCTTGCTGCTGAATGAACTGAGAAAATTCAATGAAACAACTCTCTGTTATGTTTAGTGGAGTACTCAAGGCATAAGGAAGACTATAAGTAAAAACACTAATAAGCCTAACACAGCACAGCTGCTAATGCAATCAGGGAACTGCAATTTGCAATTGCTGTAACACAGCTTACCTGTTCGTTTTTGCAAAGCCACACGCTGTTTCCACTTAACACAGTAAAAATTTTGGCTTTATACCCTCTTAATTCAAGATATCCACATTTCTCCGGTGCAACATCTGCTTGAGACTGCAAGGAAGGGGACTGCGATTTCAGTGCATTTAATAGTATGCTGACCCAGTCATTTCTTTCCTCTGAAAATAAAGACGGGACAAAACACATGTATCACAATTTACATACTTATGTAAGTTATAAACACATAGAAACATGGACAAGGGATCTACTCTTTCTACAACAGATCATTCAAAGATTCTTTCCCACAGCCTGTAAATGCTGTTGCTGGCAGGGACAATACTCAAAATTCTGTAAAAGAAAGGAAATAACTCACAGTACTCAGTTGTCCTATAACCAACCAGTAATACTGGCTCCGCCTTGGAGCTTATCAGAAATGCACAATCTCAGACCCACTCTATGTTTAAAAAACACTCTGTTAGATTATTTGAGAGATTGGATGTTCTCTTTTAATAGAAGAAAGTAATAATGAGACCAAATCGTTAACACTTTGTAGTCAGCAATTAAGTTGCTCAAATGCCCAGAGCAATCTTACTTTCTGACACTGAGAACCGGCCCTACTTAAGAGTATGCTGCTTTGATATTTACACACCCATTCCATTCTCACCACAGTCACTAACAACAGCATCTCATTCAGTAAATTAAAATTTGGGTCTCTCACTTCTTCCACAAAAGCTAAGGGATTTTCCTCTATGTACAACACACTGTTATGTGCACAGGAATTCGATTTCTCAAAGAGCAATCAAAACTATAAATAAGGGAAGTTAGATACAAACACGTGATGGAACACAATACTATAAATGTCATACAAATGGTATCAAATAATGTGTGTCAATTCAATGAAGGTAAGTGATTTGCTGAAGTCATACAGAAAGTAAGTATTAACATTAAGAGAATCAAATGTTTTCACTATCAGACAGCTGTTGCTGGCACTATGGAAAGAAGGGTATCTGTGCTAGGTCTTGAGAATGCAGAGCAACTGAAAACACAAAACTGGGATTTCAGGAGAGGAGAGGGAGAAGCAGAACTTTGTAACGCTAAGTGGAAAACCCAAGAACAAAGGCAGAAAGAACCAACATCTGTTCAAGGACTAACTTACAGATGCACATAGTTATAATTTTAAACTCACAAGGAAATAATGGGAAATACAGCTAGAGAGTCTCCAGTGCGTATGCAAGAAATGTTGTCTTGCCGGGCGTGGCTCAGCGGTTGAGTGTCAACCTAGGATCCAGGCAATCGGGGTTTGATTCCTGGTCAGGGCACATGCCTGGTTGCAGGCTTCATCAATGACTCTCTCATCATTGATGTTTCTCTCTCTCTCTCTCCCCCTCTCCTTTCCTCTCTCTGAAATCAATAAAGATATATTAAAAAAAAAAAAATGTCTTTATTACAGAGGCAAAGGAAAACCATTTCGGGATTCTTCGCAAGGAAGGGGCATGATTAGGATGACAACAGGTAGACCAAAAGGCATGAGGAAAGAGAGACTTCAGAGTACAATGAAAATGGTAACAAGAGAAAACAAGGAGTCAAGACATTAAGAGTAAAAAGCAGCTGAGGTTCTGAATATGTTTGACAGGTGTTCACACAAAAATTTAATTACTCAGAATAACAGGTACCTTGTTATCATCAGTTGATCAAAAGTAGAAAATTCCACTTTATTAACAGAACTAACTCAGGTTCTCAGTGTCCATGAGCATCTAGGAAGACTGACAGCCACATGTAAATGAATGTCACTCCTACAAGAGACGCCAGACCTATGGACGTGGGCAAATGTCCACGGGAAGAGGAGAGGAAATGGGCAAACCTTGAATTACAACTGTATCTGAGGCTGGAACATGGGTTAGCAAAAAAAAACAAAGAAAACAAAGAAGAGGTAGATATCAAACCAAAAGGGAAACAAACAAAATAGAGTGAATTCCAGGCAGGAAAATTTTGAAGGAGAAAGATGCTCTTCCAAAGCCTGGGAATTTGGATGGTATCTCAGGTTCTTCTAAGACAGGTCTGGCCAGAATAACGTCACTGCGAATTAAAATAAGTTTCCCTATTAGCACTGCTCACCTTAAAATATGAATCCAAAGTTATTTCATAGTATGACTCTTAGTTTTAAATTATCTTCATATTAGCTCACCTTCGAAACTACTAAAAACAGTTTTTTCATAATATATCTTTTTTTTTTTTTTTTTTT